GTGAGAAATCCATCCTGATCCCTTCTTCTCTCGGTATTTTGGGCACACATCACATGCGCCAGATTGAGTTTTAAGCTGCTAGGTCCAGACTTGAACTGAGATTGGCCATGTGGGAGCCAGTGCCCCAACCACTATGCCACCTGCTGGCCTTGAGACTTGGTAGATTTTTGGCATCTTTGTTTTGGATATATCTGGAAAAAAGTTGTGTTTCTTCTTTCATGTTTCTCAGAAAAATGTAGCAGTGTTGTGGATCAAAAGCTCATCTGACTGATGTGACAGGAAGCTCAGCTTATGTTCTAGATCTGATTTAATTCTATTACTTGTCTTTTGAAACTGATTCTGAGTTTCTCATAGAAAAATCAGTGAATTACATATTAAAAAGGGAAACAAGGGACCAACAAGTGGTTAAGGCACCAAACGCTCACATCACTGACCCAGAAACGCCCACATGGCTGACCCAGCGGCTTGAAAATCATACCGGCACGTGTGTGTTTGTGTCAAAATCCTGAAAGGAAGACTGGAAGAGAAAGGATTCTGTCATGGCCATCTCCCCTGAGGGGGTGATTTCTCACTTTCTCTTTCTCTGGGTAACACATGAGCCAGTGGCAAAAACCTAAAAAACAAACAAACAAACAAAACAGGGTTCCACTCACAATTTTAAGATATCTAATATTTATTTTTAGATACCTAAAGAACAACAAGACAATTCTCATATTTCTCCAGTAAGGATGGGATGTAGACAAGATCCAAGAGATATAACTAACATCCAGGCTCGAAGATCCCGTTCACCTAAAAAAAATCTAACTAAAATCCAGGCTCAAAGATCCTAAATCCAGGCTCAAAGATCCCGTTCACCTACACTCCAAAATAAGGTCATTTACGTTGCCCTAGAGAAGAATGAAGAAATGAAACATGTGCTCACACACTGTGAGAGGGGTAGCTTATACATGGCTCTCAACACTCTGAAGGCCCTCAAAGAAGATATAGAAACCAAGCAAGGCAAAGAAATGCTGGTGCGTGGCACGGAAGGAATCGAAGGGTACCTAAACCTTGGAATGCCCCTCAGTTGTTTTCCTGAGAGCTGCCACATAGCGATTACGTTTTCCCAAAGTAAAAATAAGCATAAAGAAGAGAACCAAGTATTTGGCCGGCATGAGGAGGCATATGCTGATTGTATCAAGTTTTACATTCATGCAATTGAAAAGAGAAGTAAAAAGATTGTGAAATGCGGAGAACTTCACAAAGAAGGTTGCAAACTCTGTGTTTATGCTTTCAAAGGAGAAACCATCAAGGAGGCTCTGTGCAAGGATGGCAGATTTCTCTCCTTTCTTGAGAGTGAAAATTGGAGACTCATTAACAACCTGGATTCCATTTTGGAAAACACACAGCCCGTCGATGAATTAGAGGGAAAGCTCTTTCAGGTTGCGTTTGAGAGAAAAATGGGCCTTAGAGCAGCAGCCACTTCGCATTGCGAGTCAGAGAAGACAAAGGCCTGTGTGTTGAAAGAACAAATTGTGGCCCAGTACCCCAGTTTGAAAACGGAAAGTGAAAAAATCAAGGCAAACTTCAAAAAGAAAATGAAAAACATAAAAGGGAAAAAAAAATAAAGGGGAAAGAATTATTTATGGTGCATAAGACAAACTTTGGGAAACTGACAAAAAACTCTACTCCTGTTAAAGTAGTCAAATGTCTCTCACGTCTCAGTGACTCAGTTGGATTTATTTTCTGGGACAATAATGGAAATAGCGGCTCTGCCACCTGCTTCGTTTTCACAGGATTATTCATTTTCACATGCCGACATGTAATAGATGACATTGTAGAAGGAATCGACCAAGAGAAGTGGGCAGACATAATTGGTCAATGTGTAAGGGTGACATTTACTTATGAAGAGTTCCCAGAAAAAGAGAACTGCTTTTCTGTTGAACCTTGGTATGAGATCTCTGATACAGATTATGACTATGCTGTCCTGAAACTGAAGGAAAATGGGGAACAAGTGCCTGTGGGTCTATATAATGGAATTGCTCCTTCACCACTAAGTGGCTTGATATATATTATTGGCCATCCATATGGGGGGAAAAAGTCCACTGATGGATGTTCTGTGATCCCTCAGGGTCAACGAGAACAGAAGTGTCAGGAACACATTCAGGCTAGAATAGAGGAGGGTTCTACACAGTATATCCATATGTTCACTCAAAGAAGCTTCTCAGAAATTCACAGACCGGATGTGATTACCTATGACACCACTTTTTACTTTGGGTCTTCTGGCTCTCCAGTGTTTGATTCAAATGG